GCGTAAAATTATTGTCCTCCTGAGAGGGTACGTAAGTCCCAAAACATTTCAAGTAAATTTAAGTATACCAGGTGTTTTAATCGTAGTATTTTTGTCATTTTAATGTATGGCTAATTCTCGGTATAAACGCCAATGGCTGAAGGGATGGTGTAAATCCAGCTAGGGTCCATGCAGGTAGCAAAGGTACTGTAAGTCCCCATGGTCCCTAGTATGGTGATCTACCTTCAGTTGTTGGCGATCTATAGCCCAATTTTACATTGTATTGTCCAGAAATAATTTTCTACTTTTAAAGATATATGTTAGCTAGTTTTAACTCAATCTGTGATAATCTAGTGGTTTTACTGTCCTTCGTTGACAGGGTTTAATATATTATATGTATGTATTACAAATCTAAAACTAGTTTTAGTCACGATATGGCTGAAATATTGCCGATGTGACTTTAAATCTTAACTCACTCACTCACTCATGAAAGGAAAGCAAAATATACTGAACAGGAAAAGAAACGCAAGTCTGGCTTTTGTCAAGTTTTTAATAGAAGACAACCCAAATTATGTCTAATCATTTATCCTATAGAAAACACTGTCAATGTAACAGCCAAAAGATGCTGTTGACATTGAATTGCAATAAGTTCAAATTGATCACAGTCCGTCATATAGAGATACCCCTGAACGCGAAAAGTGACAGTCTCTTTAGTATCGCGTATAGCCACCTTGAGCTTGCACACAGGCAGTGCAACGTGGCCTCATTGAGTTCACTAGAGTCTGAAAGAATGCCTGCTGTAACTGGTTCCGCTCAAACACCAATCTCAATTCCAATTGTGAAAGTGTGAGTGGCTGTCTACCTGCAGCAATCCTCCGTCCAATTTCATCCCAGAATGTTCAATGGGAGCCATATCCGGGGAAAGAGACGTTAATGTTGTTCTGAGCCAGATAATCCATCGACACCCTTGCTGTGTGAGGGGAAACGTCGCTGGCGTTGTTGACGTGCCAAAATTGGCCCCACATATGGCCTTCGGCAGTCGATTCCAGCAGCCCGAAGACGGCGCCTAATCGTTTCGCTTGGCACTGCTCCCCTTGACCCAAGAACTAAGGCTGCTGTTACTGTTACTGGTTCAGTTCGGTTCCTTAGATGAGTGACCCGGATGAACCGATCTTGTGCATGAGTTGTCACTCGTTGCAGTCCGGTACGGGGACGATCAGCAGCAACCCGCTTTACTGATGACGTTGAGGAAGTCGTGTAATGGTGGTAAGATGACAGCCCAATTGTCTAGCTACAGCGGTTGCAGTGCTACCTCCGTGTACCTTTGCAATGGTCATTCCCTCTGCTCAGTCGTTAGTCTAGGGCATCGTTTGTGTGGCGTGTACACCTCCTAGCGTCAATACTGAACTGTTTTTGACACACACCTTTATAAAGGATACCTCAGAGTGAAATGCATGCTTTTCATCCATAACCGTCGATGCACGTGATAAAATTACGGTTTTGCTGCAGTGTTGGTGTGTTTGTGCGAATGTTTCGTATGGACGTCAAATTGCATGACATCATCTCATCTGGGATCATTACGTCACTTTATCATGAATGTTCCATTAACATGAACGCTTACCTTCATCAGATTTCATTTTTTCGAAACTGGCGTTTATTTTGCGGTTCAGTATAAATCAATTTGACTTCTTCAACTAACATAGCTGATTTCCCTGTTAGCTGCTTGGCACACAAGACCCAGTAAATTTCAGTAGGGCCTAATCCGTGACAGTCAAGCCAAACTATTTACACATCCCAAAGAAGGGACGTTTCCATCCAACACATATCACATGACTTTCGAGATAACTGCTCTACAAGGTTGTGTTAAGGTTGGTTGTTACCACATGCCAGTAGACCTCTACTTCCCACGACCTACTCGCTGTTTCAAATGACATCAACTGAATGGTAAGGTTACTTGTTTCAGATGTGGTGAAACTGACCATGACAGTAATACATATGCTCAGCCTTTGAAATGCTCCAGCTGTCAAAGTGACCATATAGCATCTTCGACTGGTTGCAGTGAATGTAAATCAGTCCTTTGCGCACAAAAATGAAATGTGAGTAGGAATGAAACTAGGTTATTTTGATGTGAGGACACAGACAAAATTAGTGTCTTCTGCAAAAACCAACGGGCATTCCTATTCCTATGTTAAACTTCAAAACCGTTAACACAACATCTGTGCACTGATAAGTTATTCTGAGGAGTTATTCTCCTAACAAGACTCAAACAATACGGGGCGGTGGGGTAGCCTAGTTCTTAAAGCATTCGCCTGTCACACCGAAAACCTGGGTTCGATTCCCCATATGGGTATGATGTGTGATGCTCATTTCTGGTGTCCCATGCAGTGATATTACTGGAAATACTCATACTTGTGGTACGCGAGTGTGTTACTGCATACCATGTGGAGGACGAAAGAAATCTTAATTTGCGAGACGCTCTGCTCAAATTGTGCCTCGAACGTAGAACTCTGGATGGCCCACCCTCTGTGGTACGTGTTGATCCAGCCCCTGGTTTCACTGCTCTAGGCAAAGATGATCTCTTACGGCATCACAGATTAGCTGTTGAGGTTGGATGATCCAAGAACGTTAACAAGAACCCTGTGGCAGAGAGAGCTCTTGCGCCAGGAACCCTAGGAACCCCTCGTTAGCTGTCGCTCGGCTCAACACCCGCATAAGATCGAAAAGGGATGTCCTCAAGAGAAATGGTGACACAAAGGGATCAATGCACAGTCACCGGTGTCAGACAGAGATCTTGTGACAAAGCGGCAGGAACGCTACCTAGTTGTTTCGATTGATGATCCATGGTGCAGCATAAGAAAATTCACAGGCAACCAGCTCATAAAGGTAAAAGTTAATGGAAAATAAAGAAGAGCTCACGCCAGTATCACTGTAATTAGTTGAACATCATATAGCATTGCTCGCCTCTCTGTTTACCCTGCATCCGGTGTCAAACAGAACCGTTTACCAAGAAGCTGCGTTGTTGTCATCTCCGATAGTTGTGGCCATACTGGCGGTAATTGTCTCATACGCACATCCCCTAGGCTGCGGACTGGACTTGGTGGAACCTTAACCATTTGCATGTGAGATGTTTCTAAAGTGTCTGGTCACATTTACGTTGGAATGTCTGCTGATCTGGAGACCGATAAGACCTCGGCATGGAATGGTGACCAGGACTGGTGACGTTTTGGTTTGGTTTTGGAAATGGGATCATTTTGCTGGGTTTCCCGAATGGTTTATCCACTAGATGTTAGGCATGGTCATTAAGGGAATGAAATCGTTTAAGGCGTTGAATTTCTTTGCTGATACTGACAGGATTACCGAAGCATGTAGTCTGCAGGGCTTGTTGGATCTGTTGGTTGTGGCTGGACACATAGAAAGTGTACTGGTTGATGTGGGTGAGTTCGATAACTTCAGAGCTCAGTAACAAAATGTGACTAAATATCAGCCTTATCATGTCATATCGTATCCATGACAACCTCGGCCATAGCATCAATGGGACCGAGTCAAGGCCTGTACCAACTGCAATATGGGGGCAAATGGAAAGCCTTCTGTAACAGATCTGTATTCAAATTAGGGAAGGACTTTTGCCACGCGTTAACAACTAAAGATCATTGTTGAAGTAGTGTGGCAGTTCAGGTTATATCTGTATGGGAAACATTTCATTTCAAGAAATAATCATCAAAACTGGCTCTGGTTGAAGAATCTGAAAGAATGTGACCAAACTCATGCAAACAGTGTGGCCTTAAAAAAAGCAAACATTCAGCTCACAGAGTGCAACCTTCAAATCATTACCTCCTGACAATTAGAATTCATGAAGAGTAAAGATTTGCGTGACTTGGAGATGAAGGATGAGAAGTGCTACCAAACTGACATGTAGCTGGGGTAGTGATTTTAACCACAAGCAGGGGTGAAGTTAAACATCTCTGGAAACAAAGGAGTTATGATGATTTGCTCTGCCTGTAGTCAGATGAAGATGGAATAGAAAGCTAATTGTTAGAGCATTAATCAATAAACAGAAACTTTGGTTTTTACTCAAATTTGTTATAGATATATGCAATCCTGAAAGGCTTATGCGTTTTCTTAACATGTCTTTTTATTTCATGACTCCTTCCTCGACATGTGCTTAAAACAGCACTTTTCAAAACCAGGAAAACAATGGTGCTCTGCGTGTGAAAAGGGCATTGATCCATATACTTCTGTGCATGAAATGTGTTTGCCTATAAAACAATCTAGTCATTGTGTAACATTTTTACACACTATTGTGAGACGTTGCAGATTGTTTACATACACGCCCTCTGCACAGATGGATCAATTTGTATCGACCTGGTGGAAAGTACATTATTGTCAACATAGTTAACAGTTCTTATTTCAAAACAACTTAATGATATGCTGGATTATTAAGAGTCCCGATTATAGTGCCAAACCTCAAGTATCCAGATCGCACTCAAAAGATACCAACCCGTCCGCTTCTCTACTGAATGCTTTGGTCAGTGCACTGGGTAATTTTCACGGTTGTACCTTCGACCATCAGTTTACCACTCTAATCTCATCAACATACGTTTAGCCAGGTTGTCAGGTTACATTGCGAAATGGCATTATGACATTTTTCTGATGTTTTGATTGCAACTCACTTCAGCTTTTGTCTCTGTTTAAAACACATGTAGCGTTGATTTGTCAATCGATATAGAGGCAGTCAGTATTAAGTAATATCATGTTTATTGAAGAACACAAAGCGAATACAGAAGACAATCTGGTCGAACTAGGAGCTAGTTTACACAAGCAGTCGCAAGCCAATTACATCGAAATACCTTCAGATATACCAGACATTTACCATATAAGGCAGTATCCAACCAATTAAATAATACTCTTCTAATCAGTGATAGGTCTTCTGCATTGAAAGGTGTTTCTATCGTTCCATCAAGTACAGACTAACAGTGCGTCGGAGAGAACGGCCTGCTATGTGAGTAGGGTGCTCTGGAACAATGTCTCTAGTTCATCTGATTTCCTGGCTCATAGTTGCAACCAGACAATCGACATTCTCTGCTAGCCTGGACGACTTACATCGTCTACGGCATCACCTATTCACCAACTACACCCCAGACGTAAGGCCGTTACTAAACCAGTCCCATCCTCTTGTCGTGGATGTCAATTTCCAATTCATGAGGATCCATCACATTGACAACACACAAAAGGAGTTCTCCATCCGAGGAATGCTGTACCTTACTTGGAAGGACTACTTTCTCATGTGGAAATCTGCTGACTTTGGAGATTTGAGACACTATCATCCGAAGCAAGGAGAGATTTGGACTCCAAGTATTCTCAATGAAGACGGTGTTGGAAACCAAGATGTTATGGAGACAACAACGAGGCGTGTGTTGTACAAAAACGGATCAGTTGTGGTTCGTGTTCCTGGGTATTTCTCAACCTTTTGTAACTTTGACATGACTAATTTCCCGTTTGATAGTCAGACTTGTAACATCCGTCTAAACGCATTAGATTATTTTGCTGAAGAACTCACATTCCGTCCGGTTTCAAAACAAGTGACGACAATTGGAAACTACAAGGATGCTGAGTGGACTGTGGACTGGGCTATGCTGACAAGTGATCAAATCAACATTGCTCCACATCGTTACAGCAGAATTAGTGTCATGTTTAAGGTTGTGAGAAAACCATTGTTTGCCATCTTAAACATCGTCATCCCCATCGTCACCATCTCCATCCTCAGTATGATGGTGTTCCTCGTCCCTGTAGAGTCTGGGGAGAAGTTGTCCTTCTCACTGTCGGCGTTGTTGTCACTGGCAGTCTTCATGAGCTTCATCACTGAACAGATTCCTGCATCGTCGGAGAAACCACCACTGCTGGTCATCTACCTGACGTCGATGGTTCTGCTGAATGCTATGTCAGTCGCCAGTACAGTTCTTGTATTGCTGTGCCATTACCGAGGCTCTGTTGCCAAGGAAATCAACGCTGCATGTCATGTTTCATCCAACCAGAATACTGCTGATGTTGCGATTCAGAAACGTTCATTCAGAAAACCGTTTTCGATGATCTGCTGTGGGAAAGAGAAGAAATTTATGTCAGCCAGTCGTGCCCTGAACAACACGCTGCTTCTGCTGTTTATGGGAGTTGTGATTGGAATTACTGTAATGATACTAAAGACGAATAACAAATGAAAATTTGAAAAATGAACTGGATAGAAGAATAACTAAATATTTGCTGTGATCCATATCACAATTGTCATGGACAATGTCGAGTTCTCTCAATTACATCTTCTGTTATTGATTCAGTTTGTATGATACGTAAATGTAGACCTTAGTTGATACGCTCTGTAATTACGGTTTTCAATGTTGTTTCTCGAGCAGGATAGCAACTGCTGGTGTTGTTAGCACCACCTCACACATTCGCTGCAGTCACATATTCCACAAGAACAATACATTAAGTCTAATCGGGAATCCACTTACTGACGTCATGTTTTACTATCTCTCTCATGGACTACATATTGTGTGTCATGCTAAAGCTGTTATTGTTTATGAACTAGTTTTATTTGTGAATGTGTGCATCCATCGCTTGCTCATTCGTGGTGTTATTCCCAGTCACTGTGTGGTTTGTCAAAGCTTTTATAATGTGTGTACAATACTGTTACCAATAAATGTATTACACACTAATGGTTACGGATGTTACATATAATGAACCGTTGTATTGAACATCAAAGATTCCGATGAATCATCAAAACTTTGTTTATAACACAGGCATCACCAGTTCAGGTTTTAGTCCATCTTACCCACTGTGTACTTAACGGGCTTTTAATCTGTTAAAACCAAAATCCAATCAGCTGTTTAAACACTTGGTCATATTTGCATATATGCATCTCAATATACTATGAACACCACTTGCCTGGTAACGTTAACCCCTATCGTAAAAAAAAAGAAGTTGGACATGCATAATTCTTGTCCTTCCTTTCCAAGGAGACCAGGAGAAGAGTGTCAAGTACGTGACTGAGCAAGGAATAAAGATGCATCCGCAGTTATCATCCTCGTTGTTTTCATTATTGTCTAATTATTTTGGATGTAACCACTATCACCACACTGTCCATATCTGAAGAGGCACCCATGAAGGGCCACCTCCTCGTGGTGGGTGCTGGGTCACGCCAAGCGCCCTTCAACCCCCGTTGTGGACCCGGGGATATTAGGTCCACCAACCCGTTTGCCGTGGGTTGCGCCCCTGTGTCGGTGGAGGACGGGAGGCTGGTGGTTGAGGGCATTGGTTCCTGAACAGTGTTCCTTTGCCCAACACACCACTTCGCCCCTTACTTCACCTAGACGGGTGGTAGAACTGCCCCGGTTCTATCAATCGGCTGGTCATGCTAAGCCCTGTACATGTAAATTTTGCTGTACAAATTTTGAAATTATTTAGAATCATTTTGTCAGGTGTCTCGGCTCTATGATATTATTATATTTATATTTTGACTGTACAACTCCAATTTAATATGTTGCCTAGAGTCCTATGTCCAGAAGGCAGTGGCTCATGGGCCAATCTGGTGGAATAATTACTTGTTGATTATTCTGCTTGAGTATATCATCCGGGTATCCTTGGTGCTGCAAGTTGGAAATCCACTTGCGATCAGCATTGTCTTTATGATACTCCGTGGTGGGTGGGGAGCTCGGATGACGAATCAAAATAAACTCAACATGGCTTACGAAACCCCAAACAAAAAAACGAAGCGTCCACTCGATACTGATGATGACGAACAGCGACCCTCAAAATCCGTTGATTACTGGCCACGTTTCCTCGTTCTTGAGACTCTTGATAAAACTCCATTGAAGCTAAATCCGTTTGCAGTTTCAAAAGGTATCCACGGCATAGCAGGTGAAATGAAAACGTTAAACGCTTGCGTACAGGAGCTCTATTGCTCGAGTGTCACAGAAAGCAGCAAGCAACTAACCTGCTGTCCACAGAGCTGTTTGTCGGAGTTCCGGTTATGGTTTCGGCACACAGAACACTTAACACCAGTAAGGGTATTGTACGAGACCGAGATCGTCTCTTTGCAGATATGACGGAAATTGACATTGTCACGGAGATGAAAGATCAAGGAGTCCTTTACGTGAAAAGGTTTACAACCCGTAAAAATAATGAAACTGTGCAAACCAATACATATCTCTTTTCTTTCTCTGCCCCGAATCCTCCACCATCAGTCAAGGCAGGTTACTGCAATGTAAAAGTTGATGTGTACATTCCAAGTCCTCTGCGGTGGTGTTTCAAATGTCAGAAATACGGACACGGTGTTAATACTTGCACATTGTCTGTTGTGTGTGCTCACTGTGGTGAGAAGACGCATACAACAGAAGATTGTGTCAGTACCTTTAAGAAGTGTACCAATTGCGCAGGTGATCACTCATCGTTCTCAAAAGATTGTCCCATTTGGAAACAGCAGATGGAGATAAATAAGATCAAGTTTACTCAAAATATCAGTTTTGCTGATGCCAAAAAGCTTGTCTTGAGATCAGAAATTCAGGAAACTTATGCTTCTAAAGCCAAAACATCTTCAGACAGAATCCCATCAGTAACTACATCATCTGTCAGCTGTCAGACGAACTTGACTTGGATAAAAACAGATTCTCCGAAGATTTTGTCACCTGCAATATCTACACAAACTGCAGATACACTTCCTGACACACCCCTAACCCAATCAATCAGAACCATCGAATCAAGGTCTAAATTAACGTCAAACGTTCAACAAATAGTTAAAAACAAAGGCAAACCAAAGCCAGATGCTTTGAAGAAACAAGTGGCAGAGCCCCAAAAGGGGCAGATGATAAAATCAAATTGTTTAACAAATACGGATCACTTGAGGACATGGACGTGTCCGAAAACGTCCATTCTAGGGCACATAGCTTGTCGCCCTCGAAAACGGTGCGGGGTAGATCCCCAATTAATCCGCCTAAAAGATAGGTCTCTCTAAACATATCGTGCAGTGGAACTGTCGAGGACTACGGACAAATTTTAATGAAATACAGCTATTGATCCAGGATTTAACACCATCAGCATTCTGTCTGCAAGAGACGTATCTGAAACGGACAGAAAATTTTAGCTTACGTCAGTTTGAAGCCTATCATTATTTTTCCCTCCAGGTGATAGAGCCACTGGAGGTTCAACTATCCTTATACGACAGGATATTATTCACAGTCCTGTTACACTTCACACTAATCTCCAAGCTGTTGCAGTGCGACTTACTCTGGGTGTAGCATTTACATTATGCTCTCTGTATATTCCGCCTTCATCGGCACTTCAACAGACTGATCTTCAATCACTCTATGATCAACTCCCAAAACCATGTGTTATTATGGGTGACCTAAACGGTCACAACCCACTCTGGGGCAGTACTAACACTAATACTAAAGGCAAAATAATTGAAGATTTCATTTCCAATAATGACCTGTGCATATTTAATGATGATTCAAGCACCTATCTGCATCCTGCAACTGGCACTTATTCCTCTCTGGATTTGTCTCTTGCAGATTCTAACCTCCTGAATGAATTTGATTGGTCTGTTCATACTGATCTTTGTGGAAGTGACCACTTCCCAACTATCCTTTCAGAAATAACTCCATCTGATTCTCCTTCGTACACAAGATGGAACTTTTCGAAGGCTAACTGGTCTTCATTTCAAACTAACTGTAAATCGAAACTGCGACCTGATTGTTTCAGTGATATAACTGATCCCATTCAAACCTTTTCTGATGTTTTAAATGAAATAGCTGATGAGTCTATACCCAAGTCCTCTACGACTCCACATGTACGAAAACCATGGTTTAATACAGATTGTAGACAAGCCAGAAAAGCAAGGAAAAGGCAGAGCGTTATTTCCGCCATCATCCAACTGTCCATAACTTAAATAAATTTAAAATACTCAATGCAAAGGCGCGTCGTACCTTAAAAACAAAACAAACGACAATCTTGGAGAAATTATGTCTCCAAAATTAATTCGCGCACGCCAATGTCTAAGGTTTGGAACATGGTTCAGCGAATAAAAGGCAAAGGTTCAAAATCAGCTGTACACCATCTTAAAGATGATGATAACTTGATAACTGATAAATCTGACATTGCAAATAAAATTGGCGAAACCCTTGCCAAAAATTCATCATCGGCAAATTATGTCCCTGAGTTTCAGAGATATCAGAAACAAAAGGAAAAGACAAAACTTAATTTCGAATCAAATAACGGTGAAGATTATAATGAAGTGTTTTCATTACATGAGCTACATACTGCTCTTTGAGCAAGCTCATGACACTGCAGCGGGTGATGACAATATACATTACCAGCTACTGAAACACTTACCGGAACCATGTCTGATGACACTTTTAGATATATTTGACAAAATATGGACGTCTGGAGAATTTCCTCCTTCGTGGCGTAATGCCATTGTAGTTCCAATACCAAAACCTGGCAAGGATCATACAGATCCGTCTAATTACAGACCAATATCTCTAACTAGCTGTGTCTGTAAAACCATGGAACGTATGGTGAATAACAGATTAACTTGGTATCTTGAAACCAATCACCTTATAACAGATATCCAATGTGGTTTCAGGAAAAATCGTAGTACCATCGATCATTTGGTACGCTTAGAATCCTTTGTTAAGAATGCTATAGTAAATAAACAACATGCAGTATCAATTTTCTTTGATCTTGAGAAAGCTTATGATACGACCTGGAAGCATGGCATTTTGAAGGATTTACATGATTTCAGTTTGAGAGGCCGTTTGCCTCTCTTTATATCACAGTTTTTAGCTGACAGGCAATTTCAAGTCCGAGTGGGTTCAACCCTGTCTGATCATTATAATCAGGATCAGGGTGTCCCTCAAGGCAGTATTTTGTCTGTCACATTGTTTAGTTTCAAGATAAACAGTTTATCCAAGGTTTTAAACGATTCAATTGATGGATCACTTTTTGTGGATGATTTTAATATTTCTTGTCGTGGTAAAAATATGCATACTATTGAACGGCAATTGCAGTTGTGTTTAAATAAAATAAATAAATGGTGTCTTGAAAACGGCTTTAAATTTTCCAAGTCCAAAACTAATTGTCTACACTTTTGTAGAAAATATAAGCCGCATAAAGATCCAGAACTATCTTTAAATGGCACTCCCATCAAAGTTGTTAAGGAGGCCAAATT